GAGCAGTGCTAAATAGGCAGGTTGTATCTGCGAGCCTGGGTTCAGCGAAGGGGAGATGCGTGTCCCCCTCTCGGCTTCCGAAGGGCGGCTCAGCGGTATGAAGGCCCCCTGGGCCCCCTTTGTCACCCAGGGCACTGGCCGTCACCGCGGCTGCGTTCTCAATCCCAGGATGTGTTCGAGACTGGAATGCGAGTCCGGGTCTGCCCTCCCAGGGGGGGGAGTGGCGAGGCTGGCCCCTCCCGGGGTGCAGTGGGGAGTGTGCGTGCTCCTTCCCAGGGTGCCTCAGCCGGCGGTGTCTGACGCAGTCCCTGGCAGCCAGGCCCTGCACTACAGCAGGATCCTCACTAAGGAGGGTGTCTCTGCTCCCTGCTTTTCTGCAGGGGAACTGGAAGAATCCTGAACGGTATAGAAAAGAGAAGCTAAGCTTTTTATTTTTTTTCTTGGAGGGGGTTAAAGTGAATTTAGGGAGTTTGCACTGAAAAAGCTCTGAAGGTCCGGTTTACCATCGCAGCCTGGAAAGATGCTGTGCTCTGGCTGCCAGTCCTTGACTTGTCGCCATGGTGATTCCTATCGACAGTGAGAGCTAGTGTAGTACCGTGCTGGTGGCAGGGTGGCTATGCAGGGATTGTCCGTTTCTGGGGGGATGTGGTTGCTTCATCATCTCTAGTTTTGGGTTTGAATACTGCTGCAGACTGTCAGTGAGACTGCTGTGAGCTCTGCAGTGCCCAGAACCCCCACACTGATAGGGTTATATATACCATGACAAGAGCCCCATTTTAACCAGCTCTTAGAAGCAGACAGAGAGGTATTAAAAACACAACAAATACACATTGGAACCAGCTTTTATTCTGTTTTTAAGGCCTCTTGGTATATATTGTAAACTTACGTTTCTCTCCTTAAAAAGAGGACATGTGAAGTGAGTTATCCGATTAAAAACTTTTCGCTAGAATTTCCTCCTAACCCGGCATAGTCTTGGTAACTTATCGTGATATATATGAAACCCGGGGTAGTGGTAACGAATATTTCTGCACATTAGAACGTGACGTTCAATATCTTTTGGAGAAAAATATTCGTAATGTTTGTTTTCCATTAACCAGTTGGAGAATAAAATAAGTGCAGGGAACATGTCAGATCCGTTGCTCCTGCCTCGGTGGTTTGGAGAGCTTATTTTCCCGTGACGCACACGATTCCCTCTGATCTAAACACAGCCCTCCTCCTCCTCCTCCTCCCTTGTCTGGGCAGCAAGGGGTTAATGCTTGCTGAGCAGTATTCTCAGCCAAATGAAGCCGGAGCCACAGGGACAGGCGCGCGGGTGGAAACAGATGCTGGCCAGCCCAGTGATGCAACCTGTGTCATTAACATAGCCTTCCTCCTGCCGGGCTGCCTGTCAGTGTGAGGCAGCGCTGTCTGCAGAGAGGAGGGGGGCTGTGCTGTGTGCCAGGGCAGACGGTACGTGCTGCTGCGCTCTGCCTTCCTGCCAGCGCCGCTGGGCAGGGTATCTGGATTCAGAAGCAGAGCGAGAGAGCGAGAGAGAGAGAGAG